GGCGCCACCACGTTTTTACGAATATGACTCGTCTTTGGCTCCGGGGCCATCTGGCGCTAGAACGGTGCTGGCGCCTACTTGGCGCCGCGACGGCCGCGAATTTGTTAGGAATACGAATTCGTTGCTATTCTGCATTTGAGGTTACCGGGACTACCGGGTTACGAACATAGCTTTCATTTTTCGGTGCTGCTTTTTTTTGCGCTCTGCTAAGACTGATGGGTTTGCTTTCCTGGTTGACATTTTCTGACAGAAATCTCCCCTCTATAGGAGTCCCGAAATTATTGGTGTCGGGTCATGATGTGAACGTTATCGGGAGGTCGTGAGAAAGGTGACGAATGTTACGATCTGTTTGATTTGGTGTGACGTGACGCTGTTATCGCCCACTTGGCTCTTGGCCGCACCAGCTTCTCCTCTTCCTTGTGTGAAATACAGTGCAAGGACCCACGTTTTCATAGAGAATTTAGTTTTCTAAATTTTTCTCGATGTGTTTGGTCCGTAATATGATTTCCAGAAATAATATGAACAATGCCTTTTTTACAAATCTAGTTACTGGAGTGGTTAGGTAGATAATGAGCAAATCTCGAGTCAAACATGGGCTAGCTCTGCACCAAATGGATTTCCATGCAGTCTACGGTCACCCCTAAAAATAATGTTTTTGTTAAAATTTATAAATGTGATAAATATACACATGAAAATCTGTAGATCAAAATGATAGAGTCTGACCAATCCCTTTTTGGGATGGGATCAGCTTCTACTTTCATTCAGAATCGTGTTGGCACTTTGAATGTGATGTGGCCCATACAATTATTATGCTTGCCGAGATCAGCATGAGTAGTGTCGTTAGCCTCCCAGTAGAAATTAGTACGAAATTACGTGCCTAGAAGGTAGAGGGCTCAGTCGGCTTGGGCAAAAACCGATTCGTGGTTTCACCTGGACCGCGCGTATGCCAATTGCCATTGCACCTTCTCCACCTCATACATGCATATACTTTCTACATGTGTACAGGGGGGGGGGCAAAAAAAGTCACTTCGACCGAGTCACATATCAGCAAAGTTTTCGCTGCCCAGACAGAGGACGTGGATACGAGTAGGCGGAAGATACCCAAGATGTTCCTCGATAAGCAGGAGCTGGCTCTCGCCCATCACCTTCATGTACACCAAAATATGAAGTCATCTCCAGTCGCAGCCTGACTGGAGAAGACCTTTGGAATTCATGTCACCTCCAAACAGCTGCGAAACTTCTAGTATGGAGTCACCCATGGATAGCTACCTGGAGACCAGTACTCTCGATCTGGATGACCTCCGTGCCCCAGCATAAGGTCAATCTGTAATAACAGTGCATCTATGGAGCGTTTTAAGCTGTTCTGTCGACTCTCTATATCAATGTCTCAGCTGTGGGCCTTATCCATCAGACGATCGCTGAGCAGAAAAGGTCATCAGACTTTTCGGCACCAGTTCGGGGCCATTCATCGGTTTCCATGGCATCGGTGCAGCCCCCGACTCCTTTACGAGTTTGAAGATACTGGCTCTATATTGCTCATTATACCTCCATGTTCAGCTGTTCATAACCTTGCAGACCTGCGTATTCCTTGTGCTTCAACATGCATTTCTTGAAGCCATTGTATATGATGGGTCATTCCTTAGGTTGGATGAGCGCTGATCTCTGGCGTTGCTACTTCTATGGGTGACTCCATAAACATAAGAAGTTTCGCAGCTGTGTTGGAGGTGACGTGAATTCCGAAGGCCTTTTCCAGTCAGGGTTGCGGCTGGAGATGACTTCATATTTTGGTGTACATGAAGGTGATGGGCGAGAGCCAGCTCCTGCTTATCGAGGAACATCTTGGGTATCTTCCGCCCTGGTACTCGTATCCACGTCCTCTCTGGGCTGCGAAAACGTTGCTGATAAGTGAAGTCTCACAAGGGGCTTGATTATCAACTTTATCCTTCATTCTTTTACCTTACCAGCTGCGAATGTCCCGGCCACCTCATGCCATTAATGAATTTAAGCGTCGTGTGAGGTTTTCTTGAGTAAATATTGGACTCTTGGACAAAATATCAACACTGCTTTATATGGTTTAGTTATCGGCTCAGTCACCTTCGTCGGGGCCAAGATAACAGTGACCCACCGCCGTCTACCATTTCAAACTTGAAGCCCCGATCCGCGATAAGGAGCGTAGGCAATGATGTGGAAGGGAAGTTGCCAAATGACTCACCTGTGAAGAGAACATGCAAAAGGGGAGCGTCGAAAACACTTTCGATAGGATACCTCCAGCCTCAAACAACTGTATGCGTAAAGAAACACTGCGTGTTGTTACGAGTCCGGTCGGCTGATTCCTTCGTAATGGAGCCTTTGACCCCCCAAGGGACACTGTAGTATCCAATCCATGCTACTTCCTATGGCCTGAAAGCGGACATTAAGTCTGGAGGCGGAGTCACCGGGAAAAGGGATGTGTCACCAAAGCAACTTTGCGCCTCAAACCTTTTCCTTACAAATTTTCGCTGCGAAAACTGACACAAGTTTGTCCATCGTCACCACATTACCCCTCCCGCAGAATCTTTTGTATCTTTATAGATATTGCGGTCTGTTCCTTGAAATCACCTGTTAGAGCACTCAGGGAGATCTTGTGGCTTACAAGCACAGTTCAGCTAGGCTTAGAAGAAGTACGGCTGGTTTGAGTTCTCACCACCGCTTAACGGATTCACCGTGGGCGGTTTCAGGTGGCCTAGCTCTGTGACTTGAGCCCAATAACGATTGAAGCCCACAGGGTCAGCGAAGTGGGCGAGCTCATTTTATAGTGGCTAACCCCTGATTTCACAGGGCCATTTTGGTTTTTGGTGCGTGTGCAAAAGGCTCCAACGTTTTTTGGGCTATGCTTGGGGCTCCCGAGCGTCAGTTCCTCTCTCCCCTCGACACTGACTTCAAAAATCCGCAAGTTTTTATGACTGTCACACCTCGATTTCCTTGGACCGTCCAGGTGTTCCCACAGTTTCGGACATTAGCTAGATCACAATTGATGCCGCGCACGCCCCATGAGCTCCATATTTTCGTCAGGCCACAGATACCGTTCCGCGATGCGCGAAGTCGTAGAAACCCTCCCTATACCAGTGGTCTATTTCGGAATCTTAGAATAGGCGCAGAAGCCTTCGCGACTCCAGAGTACGCGACGAAAGGAACGCCACCGGGCTCTCATCGGAGTTAGGCATGCGGACGTATGAGGTCGGCATGCGAACTGGGGAGGAGGGAGGGGAAGGCAATATAGGCCACTTTAGGAATAGTGAAGCAACTTGTAAAGTTTTGGAAAGATTTCTCACGCATATAGTTGTCCCTCGCGATAAACATGACTGATTTTATGGTGGCACCCCTGTTCTGGCCTCACATATTCATCCCTCTCATAAGAATTTTTTCTTCGATTTTTCATACCATGAAGGTTAGTGTATCGCAATGTACATATACCAGGAGCATCTTCAACGACTGGATCATTTTTAATGATATTTTCATCAATTTCAGAATCGACAATGAGTGACACAGACAAAATTATCGAAATCATCTGCTGTATCTTCTTACCGGTGAGTGGTTCTGGTTTTCTGAGAACATAGCCTTTTTTTGAGCAGACGCAGTCCGGCCACCCAGCACGTCTCTCAAAAATGCAAGTAGCGGATGAAATGCCATGGGAGTCTGGGATAAATAATCGCTCTAGCCGGAAAGAACTGGAGCACCCCCGGAAGCGCTGCGTGGCGCCTTCCCCGATCAAGGGCACCGTTTCACGCGCGTCACCAGAGTGCAACATGAGCCAGACACCTATTGTCAGCCCGGGTGTGGGCCGCCCACAGTAATGGCCGTGGCAGCCCTCATAGGTATACTCTTATTGCATCTATTCATCAAATACAATCGGATATAAATGATTATATGATTACATATGTGCAGCCGTATCTATCAGAGCGTCTCCTGGCACAATGCCAGCAGGAAACTCGACCAAAAGTTCTCGTTCAACGTAATGCAGAACAAAGGCCTTTTTCACAGGTTTTTGGCTCGTCAACTTCGTTTTTTCGTCATTTTCTCCCTACATAGCACCCCTACTACTATTTTTGGGCAGGTACCAAAAATTATCTTATGGTCTTGTACGAGCTGAATCTTGTGCAGTTTTTCCCTCTTCTACCTCTTCTAATCTCAACATTTTTTGTAAATAATGTTCCGACTTACTTTAAGCGTTGGCGGAAAACATTAAGTTCCGTATGGTCCTACGGATCCTCCACTGAATGGTTCTGTTTGAGAAGGTGATGTCCCTCTGAATAGTTCCGAGCTGATTACGCGTCATGAAAAACAATAGGAAATATTTCACGTTGGCCTTTGAATGTCAGTTTACTGAAAAACATAAAAAACAAAGCGCGTTTAGTCAGTCCTTTTGAAGTCCACGCGCGTAGAGTTTCTTAATTAATGGAGCGGTTTTTCTATGACTAAATGCGACTTCAGGAGTTACACACTGAGGGTAGGATTTGTGTAGTTCCAAGGTGCCCAAGCCCGTGGCATCCCTCAATCTACTGGAAAAAATTGCCGATAGTTCGACTTGACGACGGCCATTGCCTTTGGACTGTATGTTTTGCTGGCGAATGCCAACGTTGTTTCCTCATGCAGACACCTTCTAGCATCATCTCGCTTCAAGTCAGAGTAATGAACGTACCCTTAAAGGCAAGTGCGCCGTTCTATTTGATGTCTACGCCCTCATTGAATATGTGAAGCTTTGTGGACTAAGGTGGAGGATTTACTAATTTCGCAAGCTCAAAATCGCGAGGATGGGCCCCCCGGCCCTGTGTGAAAAGGAGCTGCCGCCGCCCACGCTGGCCTGCCATGACTGCTTTGGCTTAGCCTTTAAAGGCTGAGCCCGCCTTTCAAGAATAATGAGTTAGTGAGGAAAAAAAGCAGGAAAAAAATCATGGGAAACGCCCTATAAGAGCCCTATACTGGCCGGGTGGTCGGCGCGGCCGACTCTTCACGAGCAAACGGACTTCTCTCAGCCACGTTGCATCTGAGCAATCGCAAAACAAGTGCACACTGCATCCTCATAGGGCTATGATATCCAGAGCGGGCAGGGAACATCAAACGAACGTGGGAGCTTCCCTTAAGGTAGGCCGCCGTTCAATGTTTTTGGTCTTCTCAGAAAACATTGGGACCACAGAAGGTGATATAGAAAGGAGAGAAAAGTTAGCTGGGGCCATAGGCACGGAAGCACGTTTGTCACGTATTTGTTTAGATTCCGTCTCAGTGCACGTGCAGGACGGAAACTATCTTGCGTTTTGAGTCCTTTTCTTGAGATCACTGTAGGCATGTTTCGCGATCAAAGACGGTAGATAGTGAACCACGAATACCATCGGTTGGGTGGTAACTACACTTGATATTATTGCAGTCGAGCGAGGCGGTGTCAGGTGGCGTGCACGTCCTGTCCACAGCTGCAATTTTTACCAAGTGGTGGGTGGTTAGGGTAGAAGACGACCAATACAAGCGGACTCGATCCGCACTCCTGACAACGCCCCGCTGGATTGCAACGATATCAAATTGACGGGGGAAAAGCGAAAGTACCCTACGAAGCAATCCATACAGGATCCCATGCCGAACCAGCTGTTTATACGAGCGTAGGACGGAGAGGCTGTGTGCTTGGCCGAGCTCTCGCTTGTTGGTATCGCAACGGCAGCTCTCTTCACTTATCACCTCACTTCACCATTCGAAATGGAATGAGTCTGGAACGGAACAACCACTCTATCAAGATACCTTCCAAAATGAGCGCTGGGTGTGGTGTGGGGCGATGGGCGGGGCGGTGGGCGTTCGTCGCGATCAGGTGGCGTTATTATCACACATTTTTGAGCCGCGAAAGTGATAGTCCTCTCTGCTTGCAGACAAGACCATCTTGTCCACTGAATGAAGGCGGGCCCCTGCCTTCCAGTAGAGACTTCGTAAATGATCGCTGAGCACTATTTACCCTTTACTGCCCCAACCATCCAGAATTGAGCCAGTTTTTGACCGACTTTTTTCTCCGTGGACAGATTTGGCTCAAATGTTGTCTCCTGGGGTAGTTTGACCTCCTGAATACGAATATCACATTCGCTTAGCCCGAAACTTCCTGGCGCCCTGCGCAGTAGGCGCCGTTGATTTGGAGTACATGGGCGCCGAGCCTGTGGCGCGGGCACCAGGAGATTTCGGGCTGAGCGGATTTGATACTCGTGTTTAGGAGGTCAGGCTACCCCGGGGGAGTAAGTGATTTAAACTGGGGCAGATTTCGGTCCAAGGCTGGGTGTCGGTTGGAAGATCCACGTTGCAGCGACGTCACATATAAGCTAATGTGGCCCAACTAGTTGACACTGTGGCAACAGGCCAAATTTTAAGTTCGACCATCCTGGTGGCAAATGTCGCACACGTGACTTGAATTGTTACTTTCGCCGCGTCGTCGCAACGTGAATCTCTTGACCGACACCCCCAGGATTTGATCCTTTTGTTAGTGTTTGGGGTGCACTTCATTGTTGGTGCACTCACCAAATTGCTACAGACTCTGCTCTCATGGGACTTGAATAACGTTACGTTTTTTTCAGGCCATTAGGCGATCTAATTGGCACACAAAGGACTGTGGTATGCCGGTGCTCATCGACATTCTACTCTGCTTCCTGTTTTGGATCCCTGCTATTATCTACGCATTTTGGTTTTGCTTCATGAGACACTAAGTCATTAATACTCCTACTCACTAATTCATATCTGCAGTTCTCAGGACTCCAAACAAACTACCAGTGTACGAAGAACTGTTTTTAATTTTGAAATTTTTAATCTGAAAATATTCGCATTGCATGTTTGGTTCTTTCATTCATTCCTGTGATTGTTCTAATCTTTCCGAACAACTGAATAAAAACAGCTGAAGAATGTCAGTGAGTGCTTCGAGAAGTTGCAGAAGATCGAGTGCGATATCCGTTACGCCACCAAAGGCGCTCTCACTCCCTCAGGATCTTCATTCAGCCTACTGTTAGGAACAAAGTCCGCGATTACCTGATCGAAGGGATCCCTTTCCTCCACGAGATACAGTTTGTTCGCTTCGAATGATGGGGCGTGTCAGCGGAGCTGAGTTTGGCAATTCGCCAAATTCGTTTTCCACCAGCTGTTGAAGCGTAGACCACAGTTGGTGGGAAACGACTGATACGAGCGAAATGCAAGTTTAAAAAAATCGTCCTGATACCCTGGCTCCCTATATCCGCAGCGACAGGACTGTTAGTTCACCCCTAATCGTGAGGACTGTGAAAACCACTTCCACGGCTCGACTGTGAGCAACAAGAGCAGGCCGTCATCCATTGTAGCCGGATCATCGCGTAGTGTGAAACTTCTGCAAAATACGACTATCAGTCTTTACAACTAAATTCGTCAAAAAAAACATTAAGACCTCTAAAAGGGGGCGTGGCCGAGGGGCGGGGCATAGTGCGGGTGCTGCAAAAATTGTCTCTTATGTGTAGATTATACCTGTGAAAAGATCATTAAAAATCGGATGTCGGGGAATAAAGTTATAAAGTGGCGAAATTTTTCAAATCCATTAATAAGTGGGCGGAGTCGTCGAGGGTGGAGTCAAGTGTACTAAAAGTGTATTCAAGGGTGAAAACGTGCGGAATTCGAAATCAAAAAAGAGAAGGAACTCTCCATAA